AAAGCGCAGAACCTGCCCCTGAGCCCGAAGAGATGCCCCGTCACATGCGGCATGCGGCAGGGTCTCTGCAATACGGGATGACAGAAGTCATGTAGCTCGGAAGCCTCGGCTGGGTGTTTTAGCCAGCTACAATCCGATCGTGTCCGATTACCGATCTTTCCTAGGCTGAACACAACTGCGAAGTAGCGGTAAAGCCTTCAGAGCTTCAGAGCGCAGCCATAGCAGGCTTGCTAGAAAAACGCCGATTATATCATCCATCCCTTTGCTGCCCGCAGTGACTCTAGCCCAGTCTGCTTCACGCAAGACCATAACTCCGACCCCAAAGAACAGACTTCCTTTGGCCTCACTAAGGCAAACTGGAGCCTTGGTGGGGGTAGGGGCCTCCTCCCAGATGCTGCTCTCTGTAGGGATGTGCAGCTTTACTCTAGAATTTACCATGTAAAAATGTGTGTTTCGGAAGCATTCTCTGCATGTGTGCACCTTACCCCCAGTCCTCTCAGCCCATCACAGGCCCCAGAGCACCTGTCAGGGCCAAGGGCAGAGCAGCAGGCACGCAGTACTGCTATTCCACTGCTCCCAGGGGGAATCGCTGCAGAACAGCACTTCCCAAGCTTCCACTTCTGTGGATCATTTCTTCAGAATATGGACATCTTTCTTCCCAAGTGACTCGTCTCAGGTCTCCAGAGCCACCCAGCGTGGTTCTGTGGAAATGGGAAAATATTTGAATAATACTGAGGTCAAATAAATATTTTACTCCAAACCAAAGCTATGCATCCACGTAGTACGAGGTTATGCTCTTGAATACATATACTGTCTGCACCGACAGCAAGGAACAGGCTGGGAGGAAAGGAGCCTTCGGCAACAGATGTGGATCTGCAGCGCAGAAGTAACATCAAAAATCTTTGATACCACAGGAACCGAACCCCCATGTTTCACAAACCAGTACGTTAAACACCCAAACAACCTTCCTCTTCAGGAACACAAAAGAATTGTCCTATGTGTTCTCAGGTCCTCGGGGTCACCGGCATCAGCAGGACAGCTGAGAACTGCTGCCTGCAGCATCCAAGCTCCAAATTTATCAACAGCAACGCTGCCTGTGGGGCAACACCAACACAGTACTGCCAGCTCACTTCAGCTGTTTCCTGCCCCCCAGCAGTAGAAGAGGAGGTGCTGGGCTGGTTGCAAGTCAGGGCCTGTGCCAATGCCTCTCCTGCACAAAACTGGCATACCCCAAACTATCAGGTTTAGCTGCACCAGGTTTACACTGCACTAAAGGGGTTGGAAACGTACGTAAGCCAAACCAAAGGAGAGATAAGGCCGTGAAAAGTCAGTCCCAGTCGGGTACTTGTTTCATGGGACTACAGTTGAGGACATGAGTGTAACTTTCCTTCTCCTTTTCTGTTTCGAGGTTTGATTGTTCAATCACTCAGATTAAGGAATCATCAGATCTAATAGCATCTGTTGTTTCATGTCTCCAACCCTTCCTTTCACTTATACTTGTATTTACCATCTACCCTACTTATTTCCTCTGGTCTAATTTCCAAAAGGAGAAAGAGAGATGCCCAGGGCTCTTGAGCAGGCACCTCCAGAGGCAAAGAGAAGAGCGGGGTGGTCTGGCCATACGGTTAACCGTGTATGGCCCAGAGAAGGGGATCTCCTGTCCTCCTTTGTCTTTCTCAAGGCTCGTTTC